GTTGTTGTTCGGATCAGCAGCTGTTAAATTTCGGCTCGGCTCGGCCACGCAATATGTACTCGTTTTTACGTGTTTTTAGATTTGGGTTCGAGCAGCAAAAATCTTAGTACCTGTTTTTTTTTCTTTTTTTATTTTGGGTTCTAGATGCTGCTTTCGAGATTACTAACATCTCTACCGGCATTAAATTTCAAGTTAAACGTAAAAAACTCATCCTAGGCCCGTTTCCTCATAAACCCGCGCCACTGTTTCCAATTTTGCCTCCAAGCAAGGTCTCAGCTCCTGTTCAGCCAGTAACCTCGTTTCCTCCCTCTCCCCATCACGAACTTCGAGACCTAATCCACACCCCCAATCTTACTCCCTCCCCTTCCCCGCCTCTGCTTCTTTGCCCTCTTCCCGATCATTGAAATTCGTATTACCTGACCATCCGAGTTTTATTAATTGCTCTCAAATCTTGTTCTTTTTTACAGGCTTTTTTCTGGATTTATTAATTTGCAAAATTGGGGATAAATACAGACAGTATTTCAGGAGATGAATTTGTGGATAGCGAATTTGTGCTGTGCTTGCAGACTGGAAAAGAAGGGTGAAACTGAAACAAACATTTTGTCAGACTCAGGTACTGTTCGCAGTATTTTGCCAAATTTAGGCGGGGTTGAATGAGAAAGCAGTAGTAGTTTTTAAGGTTTCCTTCGGAAAAGGCGGCTTTCCAAGTGAATTTTTGCGATTTTTACTTGCTATGCAGGTATTTTTAACAAATTGGAAAGAGTTATTTTTGTCGAAAATGAAAAAAGTGATTTCCTGCTTTTTCGGTATGAGAAGTCAAAAATTGTTTAGCACTTCTCTGTCACTACCATAAATCTTAGAAATCTGAAGTATTTCAGATACCATTTTTCCTCCGATTCCGACTAATAACGATTATTCAAACGATGACAGTAGCATTGAGGTACGTTTTTCTTTTTCCATAGAATGGTATTGGAACTTTTTCTGCTCCTTCCTGAGGTGTTTGCTTGAGATTCGCTCTTTTGGGCTGCGCAAAATGCACTCGTTTGTGAGTTTGAGTGTGAATTCCGAAAATCAGTCATACGCAAGTGCTGCATTTTTTTTTTCACTGGAATTTCACATTTTTCACCATACTAGCTTTCACCGGGCAAAAAAATTCTTGCTTAGCACCATAAAATTCTATAAATCTCCTCCCCCATAATCCATACCTCTCACTCAAATCCCCCTGTCCGAGCAAGGTTTCAGCTTCTTTCCAGTCCATATCCCAGCCTCCTCCCCTCTGTTACAACCCTCCC